ACTAGAGATTCCTAATTATAAAGTCTTATAATCATACGAGCCAAAAAAGAAATAATGCAATAAATAAAAGTAAATACTAGCCAATTCCATATATTGATGTCTTAATGATATTCTATTTCATCTACGGGTAATATCTCTCAAGGGCCTTCATCATCCTCTTTGATATTTCATGATTAAGACTCCTGAGCATAATTTGGAGATCTTACCATTACTTAAACAACCATGAAAATTTAGTAAGTGCTCTAATTGCTTACTTGGTGTATTGGTTATTTGGAGAAATATATCTTCAAAAAAATCTCTACATTTTCATTAAGTGATGATGAGTATAATAACAAGAAGCACCATGTATAAGCCACCTATGTTAGATTATTTTTCTCCAAGACAAACAAAAAAGTGTGATTAACTTTAAATTAATAAAGAAATTTTCTCAGTTCATCCTAAAACTTAAAGAGGGTTTGGGGAGAGCCCTAATAGATATTTTCATATTAAATCTAAAATAATTATAAAAGGGAAGGAACTATATAATAAAAACCTTTGAGATATAAAAATTCTTGTGGAATCATTAAGAGTATAAATTTTTTTTTAAAAACAATATCCCTTTCTTTATAATTCTACATGTTTAAATTTTTTTTATAATTGTTTACGAATTTTACAATTTTTTTTCACAAAAAAATCATTAGGTACATCTATGAAAAAAGTATTCCCATAAATTTTAATTATTTAAAATTAAATTTAGTTTTTTTTAATTGTAGAGCTGGTCATCAAAGTTTCTCAAAGATAAAAAGAACATAATTTCAAAAATAGAAATTTGAAATTAAAAGTATCCCAAAAATTAAATTTATGTAGTTTCATATTAAAGGAATAGGGTAAATAATATCTATATGGGGAGAAGACTACAAATAATAATAATTTTAAAAATAATGCTAATAATAATATTATTTTAATGGTTTTATTTTTGGACATTGGTCACATTTTATTTGACTATAAATTTACTATTGTAGAGAGAGTCATATTAGATTATTTGGTCATATAAAATATTGCCCTTCGGATAGCCCCATTACAGAGTAGATGTATTAGATTTGGCCTATTTTAAAAAGGTAGAGGAAGACCTAAAAACACTTGGTTAGAAAGTATTAGAAATTACATTTTTATTAGATTTAAATGATAAGTTTACTCTTAACAAGACACCATTAAGAAAAAAAATATTTAAGTAGCCGAGCCCACATATTTTGATAAAGAGTTGGTGATGTTTTTATTGTATAATTTTATAGCTTTATTTCAAGCACTTCTATGATGAGAGTTTTTAATAATAAATATTTTCTAGAGTGGGATAAGTATAAAAAAGTTATTAACTATTTTTTTTCAAATGAGAAAAATGCAAATTAATAACAATAATTATATATATATATATGTGTGTGTGTGTGTGTGTGTGTGTGTGTGTGTGTGTGTGTGTGTGTGTGTGTGTCCTTCTTATTGACAATTCAATAACTATTTTTTTATAACTCTTACATACAATTGAGCTATCTTAAGTAAATCTTGAGTATTTCAACATTGAATTTGAATTTTACTTTTGAATCCCAAGTTAGGTTAGTTGAGATATCAAGACCTGCACCATCTCAACTAGAACTTGTTAGTAGTATTGAACGCTTAATATTTGGTTTGGAGAGGATGATGAATGAAATGTTGCAGGGTGTGGCTTCATTTGGTTATGTTCAAGTAAGGATGGAAGGAATACTATTCAAGAGACTGGAAAAGCCTGATTTTCCCTCTTAAAGGACTATTTTAGCTCATTCTAACCAAATTCATCTCATGATTTGATCTTCCCAAGTAACAAAAATAGAAATAATTAAAGCAATATTGGTGATCATAACAAAATTTTGCATATAATCTCATAATAGTCACTATTTCTAGTAACTTCTATTTGAAGTTACATGCAATATATATTTATTTTTATGAATTCCAAATATGATTACAGAACCATGTCATCATAAGATATGTTCTACCACGAAGATGAATAAAATGTCAACTGTCATGAATTGCATTAAACTTTCTAAACAAGCCATTAATTGTGTCCTTACTGTAACCACATAACATATATGGATTCTAAAACTCCAAAACCTAATTAACTCATGTTAAGTATATATTAGGCTTATATATACAATAAAATCCAAAAGGATAATAAATTATTTACGAAATTGGTAACATGCTATAATTATTTGTTTTATAACTTATGGAAATATTAGTAACAAGTTCTATAATTATTTATTTGCTTTGCATATGAAATAGAAATATTTTTATTTAGTGTAATTAATTTACAACATATGAAGCTTAAGTGCTTTTTTTTCTTTCAAAATTCCATGGAAGACAATTTATTATTAATCTTGATGGCTAACTTTAGCAGCAATTGTATGTGTACAGATTGGTGATATATATATATACATAATAATATATAAACATCTAGGTGTCAATTAATTTTCCAAAAATATCATATGATAATAAATTTTGCCTTCATTAAATTTAGAAATCACATGCTTAATTTGTGTTTTGCTAATTCTTAAATCCTTATCTTATATTAAAAATTTTTGTCCCAAGTCTTATGATTTTTATGATAACAAACATTATTGGATTTCTCACTATGCTAATTGAATTTATTGCATATCTATTTTTACCATGCTCACTAACATTTTATGTCCACTGTTCTCTTACAACCTCGATCAACTCAAGATTTGGTATATTAGGATTAAAGTCTCTATTTTTAGTCTTTTTTATACTTTTTATCTTTCTGAAGTCAATTGTAGATTTTGGTGGATCCTAAAGCTAAGGAACCTTACATGGATACACACTCAAGATGGTGAGTTAGTGAGTGAGTTAAGAAAAATTTAAGTTTTCTGAACTAATCATACAATAAAATTTTTATCATAATAGATGATCAGTTAACAATGAAATACTTAAATAGGGAACCTTCAATAATTAAGATTGATTAAAGTAATCATATTGTATGACTCCTATCATAAATTATGATCAATTTTAATCATCAAAATAGACACCAATCATAATTTAATTAACATTTTATAATACAAAATTTATGACTAATCATTCCATATGGTATGTATCATTTTGTATGATATATGATAGCCATGCCTAAGGTGATCGTATGGCTAGGGGAGAATATATGGTTAATTTATTAAATTAGATCATACAAGATGATTGGTGATGATTGTACTATATAACCTAATTCTTGCATGGGATGATACTTTATCATCACGTATCATCCAAGAAAACATGTTATAATATTTCAACTAATTGTATAGGATGATTCCATATTTTATACTATATAAATTGAGCTCAACATGGGAAAAACATTTATCATCACATATCATACTGAGTGATCAGTACGAACTCTTGAACTGATTATACAAAATAAAGCAATCTAAAAGGTTATTTTTTATTAATTATAATGGACGATGCTCTCAATCATCCTGGACGATCCATTCATCTCTTTGAACTGATCGTACAATTTCAATCTCTTCTTAGACTACTAAGAAGATTACTTTGAACTAATTGTACATGATGATCTTTGATCATACTGGATAATAAGAGTTGACAGGTTAAAATTTTGGCCTTTCTAAGAGGCTCTTTTTAAAAAAACTTCTAGGTCTTATTTGCGAAAAGACTTTTATTACTAAGTTCCTTGAGAGAGAGGATAGAGAGGGACTTAAGCTGTGCTTTGGGAGAGAATAGAGGGAGAGTTGTTTATAAGAGAGAGTTGTGAGGGATTCACTAGCTTACTCCAAGCACGGATCTTCCCTATCTTCTTCAAGATTTTGTCTCGAACTTCTGGTGGATCTGAAGAGAGCAACAATAGGACATGGTTCTCTACCAACAATAGGTGGGAAAAAAAGGATTACAGTTTCTTTTCCTTCAACAAGAGGGTGAAAATATATTCCAGGTTCTCTGCTTTCACTATGAGGGTGAAAAAGAGTAAGGTCCTCTGTCACACTAGGTTATTTGAAGAGATTTTGGAAGGGCTTCTCCACCTTTCTGTGAGGTAAAAAAGAAAGAAACTAGTTTTAGTGTAATACCTAGAAAGGAGAAATTTAGGGTGTAGACGTAAGTCAGGTTGGATCGAACCACTATAAATTCTGGAGTGTTTGTTCTTATTATTCTCTACGTTTTTTTTTTCTATGACTATTTATGTCGTTGAAAACTCAAATCTTTTTATTATTATGAAATTAATTCTCTTTTGCATAACCTCTTTTGATAGATATCACAAGCTTAAACATGATACAAAAAAAAAAAAAAAAACAAGCCGTCTCATGTGGAGCTCTTCCTTCAAGACCAAGCCCACGTAGACTACATCCACCGTCGGGCATCCAAAGCCACTGCCAGCCTAAACCCTATTCGCGACTCTCTTTTAGCAAGAGTTCTGACAATCATTGATTATGATATTAGTGTCTATAACTATATCATAGACATAGGCCTAGGCACTCCTTCCAAGTTCTTCTCATTTACATCCGACATAGGTAGTGATCTCACTTGGACCCAATGTGAACCCTGTGTTAACTATCATACCCAAAAAAAACCCATTTTATGACCCAACCAAGTCCTTCACCTTTACCAACATCCCATGCAACTCTAGTTATTGTACCCAACTCAAAACATTTGATTTCTCCATTATCTTCTCCTTCCTCTATGAGGAAGATTATGATGACAATTGTATTACTAACGGCTCCCTCATTAAAGACGCCTTGTACTTTGATAATGATATTATTTATAACTTTGTCTTTGGTTGTGGACATAACAACACCGGAATTTTTTGACTCAAAGATGGGTTATTTGGCCTTGGTCGTGGGACTATTTCAATTATTAACCAAACACCTCAAGTGTATAACAAAATATTCTCATATTTTCTACCATCAGGGCCAAATATAGCTGGATATCTCGAAATAGGTAGACCAGTCCTTGATGTGAAGTATACACCTATGCTAACCAAGCCAGAAATGCCATCCTTCTTCTTCCTCAATCTCACTGCCATTTTAGTTGGGGGTGAAAGGCTCACCGTTCCACCTACTATATTCAGCAGACCTGGAACTATCTTGGACTCCGACACAATGTTTAGCCACTTGCCACCCACAACCTACTCCGCCCTTCGCAGTATTTTTCGAAAAAAAATGAACAATTACCCGATGGCGCCACCAATATTCAATCTTGAGACATGCTATAACTTCACTAACTAGCCAAATGTGTTGTTACCAAGTATTTCATTGATCTATGATGGCAATCTGACGACAAACTTACATTCCACAAGGAGACTTTTTGTGTTCAGTGAATCTCAAGCATGCTTACCCTTCATTGAAAATAAATATGATAATGAAGTATTCATCATTGGTAATATGCAGCACCTCACTCTCAATGTAGTCTATGATGTGGGGAACTCACAAATTGGTTTTGGGCCTAATGGTTGTAGCTAGTCATGGATAGACCAAGTAAATAGGGTTAAATGCAATGTATTGATGTAGCTAAGATGAAGAGGTTCCATCATGTTGGCTAACAAATTTGGGTGTGCAGGACAATAAATATTTTCTTAAATAAAAGTTCAATTGTATCCAAATTTTATGAAAAAATTAAATATCAAATGAAGTAAACTTTGTATGAGTTCATGAAAACCATTAGGATGTGATAAATTTCATTATAATTAAGGGAACATGATGACATTATTTTTTGGAGGTTTGAATTTTGATTATCAAAGGTATAATGTCATCTTTCTTCCAAAAAGATCTTATACTTAAAAAGAATGAAGACTGCTGGATGTGATGTTTTTTGTTCAGTGTCAGACCCTTACAAAGTTAAATCATGACATACATGTCTTAAACTTGATCCTTTTGGTTCTCATTTTGGCTTCAATTTTCTTTCTTGTTATGGTATATAAATGGAAGAATTTAAGGCTTATGTGTTTTTCCAACCCATTATGCCATACAACCTAAAACATTTAAGTTTAGATGCAACCAATCCTATATTCCTTAATTATGGGGTCATTTTACTAAATTAGGTAAACTCACATACCGATCACTTACACAACCTAAAAACACAAGAACTCGGGCTAAAACCAAAGATCCCAACCAATTGATAATTAAGAGTTATGTAATGATCAGTTATGTGATCTACATTTTTATAATTTTCTCAAATTGTTTTTTAATGTATTAATCCCTCACACGAAATAAATTTTTACTACGCCACTATCTGCATGCATCATGAATGTGTATGTTCATCCATAATTTATATATAATTCTCAAACCTTTGTTCATCGATAAAAAGAAAAAGTTCTAATCTCCAGCTCAGGCTACAATAAGTGGGGCTTAAGGCATTGACATTAAAGCCCTTTCCAAAGTGTCTTAATGAAATTTTGAACTTCATTTGATTAATGATATAACTTGATATGTTACAAACACATTAAGCTTTTATAGCAAAATAAAAGGGAAAATTAAGGGGGAAGGAGCATAATAATACTCATTGTAATTACTTTTTAAAGTTTTTATATATCATATAAATTAAATTATATAAATAGAATTTTTGTATTAAAAAAAATTAATTTATGAACACTCTAAAATATTGGGATTTAAAATTTTAAATAGCTATTGAAGAAATATTGATGTTGTTTTTGTTATTGTGGTACTAATGTTTTTGTTCCATGGACTTTTTCTCATCTAATACAACAAGGACTAGGAATATGTCATTAAGATCTTCTTTTAGGACCTAGAGGTTGAACCAAACAATTAGGTGAATTATGTTGCTTGCAGGTTGTGACAAGGTGGTAGTGCTTAGTGGGCACAAATTTTGCAAATGAGATACAAAGAACGGAAATGACGAATTTGGAGTTGGTATAAGATGATATAGATTTTGAGGGCTCGTTCCCTTCAAAATAATTTTGAGTAAATACTTTACCTGAAATATCAACATTTGTACAAGGGGCTCATTTTGTAAGTGAATATACGGTAGAATTCTAAAGGTTAAGTGCATGGAAAAATCTCAATGAGTCCCAAATTCAAATCATTGCACAATATATTGGAGGCCTAAATGACATCTTATACAAAAATTTCGAGTTGAGCTCGGTGTGGTCAGTATCTCAGGTTGTTAATTTTTAGTTGTAAGCCAAAATATAACTCAATCATCATTCAAATTCGCAATTAACTCATCACTAGTGTTGACCTCATTTTTATCTTTATTTTCCCTCGAGCACGTTAGATCAATTTGATCGAGACTCATTGAGCTTGATTCAATTCAAATCAACGTCAATTTTAGTTTGATTTTTTGTTAAATTAGCATAGTAAAGCCGCATCGAACCAGAGTCAATACGATTTGAGTCAAATCGATTTTGATTTTAAACCCAAATCCAGTTTGATTTTAAACCTAAGTTTGACCTGAATGGAACCAATTAGTTCTATTTTAGTTTTAATCAACTTTTTAATAAACTTGAACTAATTTCTGGATTAGGCCCTTAGATCCTACGACTCCAATTTTGTTGAAATGCAATTCTGTCGTTGCTAGATGGGGCAGTCACATGATGCTCTCGTTTCAGCTTAAGGTAAAAATGTTTTAGGGATGAAACAACGACAGAGTTCCATCTTGGAGTATAGAAGACAAAGAATGAACAGATGCAACAGAAGGAGTGCTTAGAGAAGGTGCCTTAGCCGCCTTCTCTCTCGCCTGCTTTTGTCGTTCACCACCTCCTGTCTAGCCTCCGGCCTTGCCGGACTGCCCCGACACTCCTCCTCTCATGGACGCTTTGTCCCCCCAAAGTTTTCCCCCACTCAGTCACACCTCTACCTCAGTATCCGCTACGCTTTCAGCTCTAGATCGTCTGTGGTCTACGATAGCTGCATCTCCTGAACCTTTATCGGACTCCCTCCCTGTCTCTCTCATTGAGATTCCTGAGGTTATTGTTCCATTCAACAAGGACTACACTGCTGCTGCCGCTTCCGAATGGAAACTTTTGCTGGTAGGGTACTATGTCGGTAAGTGTCCCTACTACGAAGCTTTACTCTCCACTACTAAGAGAATACGGAAACTAAAAGGTACTTTCCAGCTTATTGCCCTAAGTGATGGATTTTTCCTTTTTAAATTTTACAATGCTGAAGACTATGGTATGGTTTGGAGTAAGGGTGCTTGGTTTTTTCATGGTAAGCCTTTTGTCTTTCAAAAGTGGTCTAAAACCTTTCATCCAACCTGTGAAAATTTCTCCACTGTTGTGATTTGGGTCAGGATTCAAGACCTTCCCCTGGTTTGTTGGAATTCTGAAGGAATCTCAAAAATTGCATCAAAAATTCGTACTCCTGTCGCTGTTGATGCGCTAACTGCTGCGAAAACCAGGCTGACGTATGCCAGGATTTGCATTCAAGTATCCACCACCTCTGACTTTCCCGAATTGATTCCCATCTCCATTGAAGATGTTGTTTTTAATCTCTAAATACAGTATGAATGGAAGCCTAACCCATGTACCACTTGCAAATCCATGGCTCATACCACCCCACATTGCCCATCAAATCCTCAACCCCCACAACAAGAAATTCAACCCACACGGGGTCGCAGCACTTCGCATCAATCCCGTAGGAAAAACAACTGTGAAAAGCTTGGACGGTTGATTTACATGTTTTCTATGGCTTGCAGACTTGAGATTAACTATGCGAAGAGTTCTCATCTTCTTCCCAAAAACTGTCATAATTCCAATGAAATCAGTTCCCTTCTTAAGATCCACTGCACTGCCACTTCTATTGCTTATCTTGGGGTTCCCATCTCCCCTTATAATCTCAAACTATCCGATTTCTCTAAATTAATGGAAACTATCACTCACAAACTATCTGGTTTCAAAGCAAAGGCACACTCTTTTGCTGGCAGGTTGCAATTCCTTAGATTTACTATTTGGAATACCATCGCATACTGGATTAGGGGATCTATTATACCTAAAACCATCATTAAGCAAATTGAGAAACAGTGTGCAAAATTTCATTATTTTGGTGATATTACAGCTTGTAAAATGCATCTTATATCTTCGAAGAACACTTGTAAGCCTAAAGCTTATGGGGGCCTTGGTCTACCTTCTCTTCACTATGTGCAATTTAGTTTTCATTGCTCCCTTAATAAGAGGTTATATAACAGGAGTAGCCCTCTCTCTTCTTGGGTGTTCAATAATTATGTTTCCCCTTGGAAACCCCCTCCTGTGAAGTCTACCATCTTTTGGAAGAAAGTTTGTAGTGCAGCTTAGGTTGCTAAGAGTAAATTCATCTTTATTCCTAATTGCTTGGCTCCCATCTCTCTTTACTGGGATCCTTAGTGTAAGGGATCTAATCTTCAAGAATTTGTTGGTGTGCACAAAATTCATAATTTATTCCCTGAGAATTCTCGGATTTCTGTGATTTTAAATGATACTGGGTGGATGCTACCTTCTTTTTCCTCTGCTTACTTGCTGAATAAATTTTCTGAGATTACTGTTACTGATAGTAACACTGGTTGTCTGTCTTGGGATGGGGAGAAAAGAAATAAGCTTAGCAATTTTTATAATTTCCTATACAAGGATGATTCTATGTGTAACTGGCAGCAATTCATATGGCATAAGCACCATTGCTAGCGGTACTCCACCTTCAGTTGGATGGCCTTATGTGGCGGGCTTAAAACAGTAAATATTCTAAATTCTAGAGGTATTATCAATAACACCTGCTGCTCCCTTTGCCATAAAGATAATGAGACCATCTCTCACCTCTTTTTTTAGTGTGATTTTTCTTTTTTGGTAATATCTAAGCTTATTCCCAGTATGACTAATAATCTTTTTAGGCCAAATATTACTCAGACTTTTGAATGCTTTAGTACTATGCAAGGAAACTTAAAGTCTTTTTACTACCTCATTATCTGTGGTGCTATTTATCACCTTTGGAGGGAAAGGAATGATAGAAAATTTGGCAATGTTTTTGCATCCTCTACTACCCTTAGCCACAAAATTAAAACTGCTGTTATTTCTAAGTTAATGAAATGGAAAAATGAATATGCTACGTTGGATTTGATATAATTATACTGAGAACGTGGGTCTATTTTCTGGGATTACTTATCTCTGATTCTCTCTGTTACTCTGGACTGCTTGTTATTTTGATGGGAGTTGTTTATCAATGAAGGATTTGCTGGAAGATTTTGGGGTTATTTTGTTTTTGGAAGCAGGTATTCTGGAAGGCTTTGTTTACAATTGGTTGGTATTGGGTTATATCTGAAACACACCTTGAGGGCCTCTACGGTAACCAGGATAGCTGCTTCAGTCCATGGGAGTTCTGTTTTCTGGACGATGATGATCGCTGCTGGACCTGTCTCCCCTTGGAGGGTCTTTTTGGCAACCAGGGGATTACTAGAGCTACTCTCGTGCGTGCTTCTTATCGATATATCTGCTCGGCCAGCAGCCCGAGTCCTAGATGCTTTGCATCTATTACCACAT